CCATGCTGCCGCTCTCAAGCGTGCAGTCCCCACTCCCTCAGCTCTCAGGTTCCACTTCATAGCCCTTCTCTTTTCATGCATGCCTTGGCTGCTCTGAGAGCCCTTTCAGCTCAGAATCTTTGTCCTAGACGAAGGGTCTTGGTGGATAAAGCAGTGAGGCAAATAGTGTATACCTGTGTTATGATACAAAAACAGACACTTGGTTTTCTGCGGTGGGGATGGCAGAGAGCAGGCAGCAACTACAAAATCTTTCTTTGCAAAGAATTAAACTCCTCAGCATCTGTCAAAGAAAAGGTCATCCCAGGAGGCTGGATCTAGAAATAGATTATACCAGGAAGAACCCACCATGAACACATGACTACAGTGTGTATACTCCTATCTTCGCAACAACACTTGTCAGCCAGAAAGGGCAGGGACTTGATATGCCCATTTCCCAGGCTCACTGGCTTAGTGATGAACTGACTTACCCCATTTACAGGGATAGTAATGAGACTGCTAGGCAGCTGGGAACCCAGAATTCCTAAACTCTGCTTTTTAAAAATATCTTCCCTGTGATTATTTTCTTAATGCATATTTATTATAGAAACTATGACAAAAGTATAAAAAGGAAGTAAAAAATCACCTACAATATTGGAATAAGTGAGGATAAATACACATTGATCTGGGGATATGAGAATGTAGTTGATAAAACCTTTTTGGGAGGCAGTCAGGTATATGACGAGCAATTCCACATCTAGGAATTTTTTCTACATTAAATTTTTTTTTTTTTTTTTTTTTGAGACAGAGTGTCGCTCTTGTTACCCAGGCTGGAGTGCAATGGCGCGATCTCGGCTCACCGCAACCTCCACCTCCTGGGTTCAAGCAATTCTCCTGCCTCAGCCTCCTGAGTAGCTGGGACTACAGGCACGCGCCACCATGCCCAGCTAATTTTTTTTTTGTATTTTTAGTAGAGATGGGGTTTCACCACATTGACCAGGATGGTCTCGATCTCTCGACCTCGTGATCCACCCGCCTCAGCCTCCCAAAGTGCTGGGATTACAGGCTTGAGCCACCGCGCCCGGCTTCTACATTAAATTTTAAGCATGGATGTATGTGTATGGACCATCATTACATTATTAATAGCATTAAAAGATGTGGAAGCAACCTATATGTCCATCAGTGAGGGACTATATCAGTAAGGAAGGTGTCAGGGACAAGTCTCAGGAAGCGGACTAGTAGTAGGTGAAGTAAAGATGGGCTTACATTTCTCACATAACCAGTCGAGGCCAGCTGTGGCTGGCATTGTTTCAATGACTACACAGTGTCAAAACCAGCATTTCTGTGACTCTCTCGATGTTGCCTTTCTGGTTGCAAGAAGGTGCACTTGCACTCTATTTTTTTTTTTTCTTTATTTTGTTTTTATTGTTTTACGCTCTAGATAACACATCAGTGTGCTAGGCGGGAAAGGGAAAGGAGTGCTAAGGAAAGCAAGAGCGTTCTCAAAGACCTCCTAGCCGACTGCTGCTTTGTCTGATGGGCACACCTGGCCACAAAGGAGGATGGGAAAACAAGTATTTAGGGATTCCAGCCTCTACAGGAACAAGAGTAAAAAGTCTGGGAATAGCCAGGCGCGGTGGCTCAAGCCTGTAATCCCAGCACTTTGGGAGGCTGAGGCGGGTGGATCACGAGGTCAATAGATCGAGACCATCCTGGTCAACATGGTGAAACCTCGTCTCTACTAAAGATACAAAAAAAAAAAAATTAGCTGGGCATGGTGGCCCATGCCTGTAATCCCAGCAACTCAGGAGGCTGAGGCAGGAGAATTGCTTGAACCCAGGAGGTGGAGGTTGCGGTGAGCCGAGATCGCGCCACTGCACTCCAGCCTGGGTAACAAGAGCGAAACTCCGTCTCAAAAAATAAAAGTCTGGGAATGGGTGTTGGATTAGCCAATTAATGATTTGTGCCATAGGACTGATGAAATAAATTATGTTACAAATTAGTAATAGGACACTATGTAGCACTAAAAACAATGAAGGAAACATTAATTTAAAAAAAAAAAAAAAAAAAAAAAAAAAGAATGAAGGGGTTGGGCAGGTCGCTCATGCCTGTAATCTCAGCACTTTGGGAGGCCAAGGTGGGTGGATTACAAGGTCAGGAGTTCAAGACCAGCCTGCCAACATGATAAATAACCATCTCTACTAAAAATACAAAAATTAGCTGGACATGGTGGTGTACGCCTATAATCCCAGCTACTTCGGAGGCTGAGGCAGAATTGCTTGAACCCGGGAGGCAGTTGCAGTGAGCTGAAATCTCATCACTGCACTCCAACCTGGGTGACAGAGCAAGATTTCATCTTGGGGGAAAAAAAATGAAAAGGATTGATATGTACTATTTTTTTTTAACCTCTCTGCAGAACCATCATGCTGGAGAATGATATGTACTATTAAGGAATAATTTTTTTTTTCATACAGGGTCACACTCCATCACCTATGCTGGAGTGCAGTGGTGTAATTATGGCTCACTGCAGCCTTGACCTCCTGAGCTCAAAGGATGCTCCCACCTCAGTCTCCTGAGTAGCTGGGACCATAGGCATATGCCACCACACCCAGCTAATTTTTGTATTTTTTGTAGAGCTGGGGTTTCACCATGTTACTCATTGTGGTCTCAAACTCCTGGGCTCAAGTGATCCTCCCACCTGGGCCTCTCAAAGCAATGGGGTTACAGGCATGAGCCACTATACTCGGTCCAGGAATAATCTCTAAGATATTTTATAAAGTGAGAAAAGCAGGGTGGAAAACTGTATATAGTATGCCTTTTGTTTAAGAAGGAGAAGTCAGGGTAGGAGGGAGACCTACTTTTCACTATTTGAAAATTAAACAGTAGGCAAATTGGGATTCCACCTGCAAATCCTACATTTATCCAAGATAACTTCTTTTTTTTTTTTTTTTTTTTTTTTTTTGAGACGGAGTTTCGCTCTTGTTACCCAGGCTGGAGTGCAATGGCGCAATCTCGGCTCACTGCAACCTCCGCCTTCTGGGTTCAGGCAATTCTCCTGCCTCAGCCTCCTGAGTAGCTGGGATTACAGGCACACGCCACCATGCCCAGCTAATTTTTAGTAGAGACGGGGTTTCACCATGTTGACCAGGATGGTCTCGATCTCTTGACCTCGTGATCCACCCGCCTCGACCTCCCAAAGTGCTGGGATTACAGGCTTGAGCCACCGCACCCGGCCCAAGATAACTTCTAATAACATTAGCTGTGGTTCATTTCAGGCTTACTTTTATGTAAATACATGGAATGTATGTATATATTTATGTAGGAACTACAATCTGGCATATTTTCCTCTAGTCTTTATTTGCAATCATTAAGACATCTTTATAAAGCTGTCTTCTCTTTAAATTGCTCTTTGTGGCCGGGCGCGGTGGCTCAAGCCTGTAATCCCAGCACTTTGGGAGGCCGAGGCGGGTGGATCACGAGGTCAAGAGATCGAGACCATCCTGATCAACATGGTGAAACCCCGTCTGTACTAAAAATACAAAAAATTAGCTGGGCATGGTGGCGCGTGCCTGTAATCCCAACTACTCAGGAGGCTGAGGCAGGAGAATTGCCTGGACCCAGGAGGCAGAGGTTTCGGTGAGCCGAGATCGCGCCATTGCACTCCAGCCTGGGCAACAAGAGCGAAACTCCGTCTCAAAAAAAAAAAAAAAAAAAAATTGCTCTTTGTGCTTAACCATCCCCCCAACCCCTACCCCTGATTCTCTAAAACATTCACTTCTGCTGTGGGTGGCTTGCCCTGTGCATTGTTGCCTTTGGGAAGGATTTTCTTCCCTCCTGTCCGCTCTCCACCCTCCCTCATGGCAATCTGGCCATCCCTAGCCCCAGTGCACAGTTGCACCCAGGACTAGCAAGATGTTAAGCCTTGCCTGTACAGGACCTAATGTGCCCGCACCCTCTTTCCCTCTCCTCCCTGCCACCCTCCCTTCCATCATTAGGAAATTCCTGGCAGGTTGGGTAGGGGATGAAGGGTTAAGGGGTATTTTGTGAGCAGGGGAAGACTCAGAGCCAGGGAGGCCAACAGAGGGCCTAGCAATTGAAGAATACTTACATATGTTTGGTACCTACCATGTGCCAAGCAATGTGCTAAGCGGTTTGCATGCATTACATTTATTCCAACAATACTGCAAAGTAGGTTTCTTAGAGGGAACCATGTGTCCTTGTTTGCCTGGAACAGTCATGGTGTTTACCTGTTGTCCTGGTAAAATTGTTAATAGCATCTCCTTTCTCTAGCAAAAGGTTTAGATAAAAAATTGTATAGTCACCTTAACTGTTCCCATTTTATATGTGAGGATATTGAAGTTTAGAGAGGTAAATTCATCTGCCCAAGGTCACACAGCTGGTAAATGATAGGGCTGAGATTAAAACTCTAGTCAGTATGGCTCTGCTATGACTGTACTCTGCCATGGACAGGAATTGTGTCCCCCAAAATTCCTATGTTGATACCTTAACCCCCAGTGCGACTGCATTTAGACAGAGAGCCTGTAAGAAGGCGATAAAGGCTAACCGAGGTCCAGATTATTGCCTCCTCCCCAAGCCGCCTCTCTTCCACAACCGCCCCCACCCCACTCCAGTCAGGGGCCTTCCTCCGCTGCCACGACAGTTCCTCTAACCCTGCACTGCCACCGCCTGCATCCTTCGCGGCCTCCTGCTACGACTTTCCCACTGCTGCGTCCTAGATGGCTGGCGCTCAAAAAATACTGACTGGGTGAAATAAATGAGAGACACTGTCCTTTCAGGGATGGACGGATCCGTCCTGGTCAAGGCGGTGACCTTCTCTGGTAGTCCCTAACACAAGCTTGACCCGAAGTCGTCGTGTTGAACAAGGCCGACAGTCGATGGAAGCCAGCGCAGCGCCCCCCTGTCACCTCCTCTTTCCGGGCGAGGGGAAGGAGGCGGTGCGTCTACCGGCGAGCCGGCCCGGGGGGGCGGGGCCTGCGGGGCCTGCGGGGCGGGGCTTCCAGCGCGCACTCTCGGACGCACCGCGGAACCCGCCCTCCGAGCCCAGGGAGGCGCTGCCGCCGCCGCCGCCACGCCGCCGCCGCCGCCTCGCCGCCCCGCCGCCCCGCCGCCCCGCCGCCGCCTCGGTCATGCCGGTGAGTGGCCGCGCCGTCCCCGCCGCGCAGACTTGCAGTCCCCGGCTCGATCCTCGGCTGCGGAGCCGTCTGACCGGATGCTGCTCTTGAAGGGCTCCGGCCGCGACCGGAGCTGCCGTTGGCCCCCTGCTTACCCCACCCAGCCCCCAGCTTTTGCAGCCCTCCAGAAAATGGGATGCGGAGGGAGTTATCTAGGAGCCAGGCTTCAAAACGTCGAGCCAGAAGGACTCCAGAGGCGACAAGCCTCCGCCTTCCCTGCGTACACGGAGAAACAGACCCGGAGAGGGGGCAGGAAGTGAGACGCCTAGTCCCCGAGCCTTGCTCCTGGCTGCCCTGCCCGCGGAGCTGGCCTGAAGGAGGGCGGTGGGGAGGCTCTGGGCACGTGCACCCGGTTATTGCTTCACGGACCTGGCAGGTTTTCAGAGGTTCATGCTTGTCTTCATTTCCCTGCCCACTCTGGCCTACTTTTCAGGTCAGCTCTGGGGGACACTGAATGGAGACACTTTCTCAGCCTGAACCCATAGGCCCCAAAGAGGTTCAGGAACCCCCACCCCCGACCCCTGCCAAGTCACCAGTTGCTCAGTGGCAGAGTCTGGGAAGTCCGTCTTAGCCTGCCTTTGCAGACCACTCAGTCTTATCACATATACCTTGCTGCTCATGGCCTCATTTTTTATAAAAAGAATTGAGGCCTTTGGCAGATAAAAATATAAAAAGCCCAGTAATTTATTCCAGGTGCCAACTTATCCTTAGGCTTCCCATCTCTCCAGTCTGGTCACATGGGAGGTGCCTGGCAAAAGCAGTCACACCGGCTTGGGAAAAAGCTCTGATCTCAGTTACATCTTGCTTAGCGTCATGTGGTGGTTTGCATTTTCTTAAGGGTCCCTAACTCATGGCTCTGGGTCAGGTGGATACCCAGAAGTATCCCACAGATGCCATGTGTCTTAGCAGCCTGTCTTTTGGGAGCTGGCAGGTGAGCCTGAGGTCCCCTGGGCAGAGCCACAAACATCTCAGGTGTCATTTCCCTTGAGCCTTGCCAGGTGTCTTGAGACAAATCCTCCAACAACAAAGTATGGACAAGGAATCTGGTAGAATCAGCCCTACCAGTTGAGCAAGTCAGCCTGAGGCAATGGTAGAAGACAGTATTAGTTGCCCTGGTGCTGGGAGAGTGAGGCCACCAGGTTTTTTTGTGGGGGGTGGCAATGAGGAGAAGGCCAGCTTGATGATCACTGTATTCTGTGTCTTTTTCTGGGGATTTCGACAAAGACCCTCGAGCGGATGATGGGAACGAGGAGGGCACTTGGCACCATGTACCACAAGATGAACAGCTGAAGGAAGGAGGGTGTTAGTCAAGGGACTCTCTCAAAACTGGAAAGGGAAGAAAATATGTATATATGTGTGTGCATATGTGTGTATATGTATGTGTATGTATATATATGTGTGTGTACATATGTGTATATATGTGTGTACATATGTGTATGTATGTGTGTGTGTGTGTATAATTGGAAAGGGAAGAGTTTGTTACCTGAGAATTTTCTCAAATACCTGAGGGCACAGGGTTTGGAATCCCAGAAACCTCTGAAAATCTGTGCACCAGCTTGCCAACTGGGTGACCTCAGGCAAGTTGCTTTACTTCACTGCCTTGATTTCCTCATCCGTAAGTTAGGGACAAAAACTTTGAGTTCACAGGACTGTTGTTAGTATTAATTGGAAAAATGTCAGTAAAACATGTCACCCAGCCACTGACATATCTAGTCCCCAAGAAACGGTAGCTCCTGTGTAGACGTAGGACAAGTAGGCCAGAACTATAGGCAGATAAGGCCGGGCATGGTGGCCCACACCTGTAATTCCAGCACTTTGGGAGGCTCAGGTGGGAGATCGCTTTAATGCAAGGAGTTTGAGACCAACCATGACAAAACCCTGTCTCTACAAAAAATACAAAAAATGAGCCAAATGTGGTGGCCTGTGCCTATAGTCGCAGCTACTTGGGAGGCTAAGGTGGGAGGATTGCTGGAGCTAGGGAGGTCGAGACTGCAGTGAGCCATGATCATGCCACTATATTCCATCCTGGGTGACAAAGTGAAAGAGAAACCCTGCCTCAAAGAAAGAAAGAAAGAACTACAGGCAGGCAGTGTTCAATCCCATTTTAACAAGATCTCACTGGTTAAGCATTGAGGTTTTAGAGACTGACTATGTCCAATTCAGTCCCTACTCACTAGCTGAATTGCTGCGAATAGTGAACTAACTACTAAACCTGTTTTCTCATCTGTCAAGAAGGGATAATACTAGTACCTACCTCATGGGATTGTTGTGACAATTAAGATAATGCATGTAGAGTGTTTAGAACAATGCCTGACACATAGTAGACATTCACATACTAGTATTAGTAAACATTAGAGTGTTCAAGGACTGAATGTCCTGAATATTTGAAAAAGAATTTCTCTTCTGGGGGAGACAGTCTGGACAAAATGACCCCCTTCTCCCCACCCTCCCAGTTCTGAGATTCTATTAAAGAATTGTTCCTTGGGAGGCCAAGGCAGAAGGATCATGAGGTCAGGAGTTTGAGACCAGCCATTCCAACATGGTGAAAGCCCGTCTCTACTAAAATTACAAAAATTAGCTGGACGTGGTGGCGTGCACCTGTAATTCCAGCTACTCCGGAGGCTGAGGCAGGTGAATCACTTGAACCCGGGAGGCGGAGGTTGCAGTGAGCCGAGGTTGTGCCACTGCACTCCAGCCTGGTGACAGAGCGAGACTCCGGCTCAAAGAAAAAAAAAAAAGAGTTGTTCCAGGTGCAGTGACTCATGCCTGTAATCCCTGCACTTTGGGAAGCTGAGGTGGGTGGATCATGAGGTCAGGAGACCACCCTGGCCAACACAGTGAAACCCCGTCTCTACTAAAAATACAAAAAAAATTAGCCGGGCATTCTGGTAAGCCCTTGTAGTCCCAGCTACCTGGGAGGTTGAGGCAGGTGAATTGCTTGAACCCAGTAGGTGGAGGTTGCAGTGAGCTGAGATTGCGCGACTATACTCCAGCCTGAGTGACAATGCAAGATTCTGTCTCAAAAAAACAAACAAAACAAAAAACAATTGTTCCACCTACTGACTTTTAAAACCTACTGGCTTTTAAAATCTATAAATTTTACAAGTCTTTATAAAAGACCCCAGAGGCCCTGAAGAAGCAGGACTACCCAGTTATGCATCTGGTGGTAGAGTCAATCTTGAGATTCTCCTATAAAGAAATGATTATTCTGTCCATGAAATAGATTTTCCATCACTCTCAAATTTATTTTTGCCCCTCGGAGGTGGAGGAGGAGAGCACTGAACTGTAATGTTTATATCCAGAAGCTGGTTTCTTGCTTCTGACCTTTGTACTGTGGGGGGTGAGACCTACTACTCCCTGTAATCAGCAGCAGAAAGCTTCAGCTATCTGTTGCCGTTAGGTCCTTGGGCAGCAAAAACCTGTGCTCCCTAAAAATGTGTTTCTAGTTTGAGAGCTTCTGCTGAGAATCAGGGTTATGAGGGCTGGCGGTGCACTTTGCTGTTCCATAACCAGCAAGATTTCCCTGGAGCGAAGAAAGCCTAGCTTCATATTCCATACTCAGTAGTTATTTGCCACATGACTGTAGGCCACCTCGTGAACTCTTGGGAACTTCACTTTCCTCCTGAGTGAAGTAAGATAAACAGCTCTCTTTCCAGGATCAGTGACGACTAACTTAGATACTATATAAAGAGAATTTGACATATAATAGACAATCAATACATTTAGCTCTTATGTTGATCTTGCAAACCCTTCAAAGCTTTGGCTCAGTATGTAAGTGCAAACCACTGATGAATCTTGATTTTCTGCTTGTTATCCTAGAGGAGGGGACCCCAAACTATGGCCCGCGGGCCGCATGCGGCCCCCTGAGGCTGTTTATCCAGCCCCCGCCGCACTTCAGGAAGGGGCACCTCTTTCATTGGTGGTCAGTGATGCATCCGCATCCTGTGCTCCTGGAGTACTGTATGTGGCGGCGCTGCAAAGCATGGTGTCGCTCACGTACAGTACTACTTCCGGTGATGCGGGACACACGTGTCACGGCTCCGGAAGTGCATCATATGATGCACATCCGGTCTGTGGCTGCAGTGCCCCACATCACCAGAAGCAGTGTGAAATAACAGCAGAAGTAGGAGGAAAGGCAAAGCACTATAACCATTACTACCAGTACAATGGCCCCCACACTCCCCCAAATGTACAACAACATAATGGCCCCTATAACCTCCCTTTGCCCAAAAGTCTCCCCCGACATTACTACACACCATGTTCCCCCTATTATAAGATCCTGTCTTACATTAATTTTACCCCCAAAAGACGGCAGCTGTCTTATTTTTGGGAGGTGTCTTATAATAGGGGAAACATGCAGCAGTGGGCTTCCCACAGAAGAAGCCCACCGCTGCTGCAGATGTCCAGGACGCTGTATACACAGTGTCACAGGCTGATCACCGCCATCCCTGTATACAGCACTGGAGGCGGTGCTGGGCCTGTGACACTGTATACCGCTGTCTGGGATAGTGGAGGCAGCAGCGCTGGCTGTGAAGGGTGTCACACCTTGCATAGTCCGGCCCTCCAATGGTCTGAGGGACAGTGAACTGGCCCCCTGTGTAAAAAGTTTCGGGACCCCTGTCCTAGAGCAAGACTCAGCAAACTTTTTTTATAAGGCCCATATAGTAAACATTTTAGGCTTCACAAACCATCGGGTCTCGTTACAACTACTCATTGCCATTCTAGTGCAAAAGTAAACAAATGAGTTTGGCTATGGCTATTTTTTTTTATTTTCTTTTTTTTTTGAGACAGAGCCTCACTCTGTCTCCCAGGCTGGAGTACAGTGGCAGGATCTCGGCTCACTGCAACCTCCGCCTCCCAGGTTCAAGTGATTCTCCTGCCTTAGCTTCTCGAGTAGCTAGGATTACAGATGCATGCCACCATGCCCAGGTAATTTTTGTATTTTTAGTAGAGATGGGGGTTTCACCATGTTGGCCAGGCTGGTCTTGAGGTGATCCACCTGCCTCAGCCTTCCAAAGTGTTGGAATTACAGGCGTGAGCCACAGTGTCAGCCTAAAAAAAATTTTAATAGTGGAGAGCATCATCTCAGACTGTGGCAGGAATGACTTTGGTGTCTTGTTAAAGATTCTGATTACAGATTTTGGGGGAGGGACCTGAGATTCTGCATTTCTGAGAAGCTCTCAGGTGATGCTCATATTGTTGGGCTGAGGACCACATTTTAAAGACAAGATTTTGTAATACCTACTACAAATCCTTTTTTCCAGAATTTGTTATTGTTGTTGTCTTTGAATAGTCATGAAACAAGATGAAAAAAATTAGAGACGTTTAACTAGAAGAAAAGACTGACCATTTTCTTGAAGATAGATTTTGCAGATTTGGCCTTAATAAAAGTAGTGGTTTACTAGTCACAAAGGTCAGACAGTCCAGCCGTGGAAAATCAAGCTGCTTTACTCTTGGTCTTGGTTTCCTCTGTGGAGCACAATGACAATCCAGACTCAGAAGTGTTTAGAGACTTGGAAAGAGTTTGAGAAGCCACTTAGCCACTTTATTCTCAGGCTTGTAGTTTTGCCTCCCTGTCTCTCCCCAGTAAGTTAAAAATGGTGAGTGGCAGAGCCCACACCACCTCCACAGAGCCAGCTGAGATGAGTGCCTGGGAGCTATACTTTCCACAAGGACCTCAGATTTCTTCCTATGCACACTGAAGTTGAAAAAAATTGATTTAGCTAATACTCTTTTGGTATAGATTAGGGAACTGGAGCCCTTCTGGAACAGAGATTTTGCCTGAGGTTGTCTAGCAAGATATATCACTATACCCAGAATTCCAGTGAGGTAATAGACTTGAAATATTTTGAAATGCTCCATGAAAAATGTAGCCATTCTTTTTTGAAGGGAAAGAGGAAAGACAAATGGAAGAAATTAATCACCATAATAATTCAGTAGCTAACTTTTTACCCATTGGAACCTGGTACTAGGCTCTGATTATTAGTTATCTATTGTTCCTTAGTAATTATCCCAAAACTTTGTAGTAGAAAACAACAAATATATTTAGAGTAACTCACACAGTTTCTGAGAATCAGGAATTTGGGAAGAGTTTGGCCTAGTGGCTCTGGCTCAGGGGCTCTCATGAAGTTGCAGTTAGATGTTGGCTGGAGCTGCATTCAACTGAAGGATTGACTGGGGCTGGAGAATCTACTTCCAAGATGGCTCACTCACATGCTTGTTAGTTTGAGCATTTGGTCTTTCACTTTGGGGACCTCTCCTTATGGTTGCTTGAATATCTTTATGATTTGGTAGCTGACTTCCTCTAGTGTTAAGTGATCCCAGAAAGAGAACAAGACAGAAGCCACAGTGTGATTTATGACATTGTTATAGCTTCAGAAGCCACATAACCTCACTTTAAGCCATATTCTATAAAACACACAGACCAACCCGAGACATTTTTGGAATGGGATTGCTCAGGGGCATAAATACCAGAAGCAGAGATCATTGAAACTATCTTGGATGCTGGCTACCACACTTAAAATCCCGTGTTCATCCCATTCACAAATCTAGAGCGGGACTCTTATCCCCAGTTTTCAGATGTAGAAACCAAGGCACAGAGAAGTAACTTATTGATGATCTTGCATCTGGTAAGTGCAAGAGCTAGTATCTGAAGCCAGATTTATCTGATTTCAGATGGTCTCATTTTCAGAGATTTTAAAATAAAGTACTGGGATAAGTAATCCTTGTGTGAAAGCAAAGCAAAAGACCCAGAATTTCAAACCAGCCATGTCAGTTATCCATTGACTCAAAAAATGTATTAAGCACCTACTCTATCCAGGCACTTTTCCAAGTATTAGGGATCTAGCAGTGAACTGAACAAAACCCCTGTCTTCTAGGATCTTACCTTCAAATCCTTGATCTGTTAGATATTCTGGAGACTGTAGATCTTATGTGAAGATTAGGAGCCTGGAATCCCTTCCTGCCTGGCCTCCAACCCACTCAGGAACCCAGGCAATCCTTTCTCTTCCCTGGACCCAGTTGCTGCCTCTGAGAATGAGGCCCTTGGATGAAAGCAGAATCACCTGGGAAGATGACTAGACATAACAGATGCCCCAGCCCAGACCTGCTGATGAGAACCTGTATTTTTTGCAAACTGCAGGTGACTCTAATGCAGAAAATAATTTTCTGGTTCATAAGTGGGCCCACCATATCAGCATTGTTCAGAGTATGAGGGCTCATCCCTGTCAGTGTTATTGGTGACCCTGAGACAAAGTCATAGCTCAAGAATCGAGTGTTTTGAAGATAGGACAAGGAAAAAAGCATTTTAAGCTAGATCTCCAGGTGATTCTATTCACTATGTGCTGGACACTACTAAAGGATTTATAGGGATGATTCCATTGAATACAACTTGTGAGGTAGAAACTCTTAGCTACTCTATAGTTGAAAAGACTGGGACTCAGAAATAGTCTCCTGATGAATCCGATGCCAACCACGTTCTGCCCAGTCTCTCTCCCTTCTATCTTGGCCTGAGTGGGCCTGCTTTCTGGCATTGTGTATGGGTCACTGCAGGGCTGAGGTCATGGTCCCTCTTTGTTTGTTTCAGAAGCACGAGTTCTCCGTTGACATGACCTGTGGAGGCTGTGCTGAAGCTGTCTCTCGGGTCCTCAATAAGCTTGGAGGTGAGTGGGTGGCCCTCAGTTGGGGGTGGGATAGAGGAGACAGATCCACTTGTGCCATGTTCAGATACATGCAGACGTAGCAGGAGATGCTTAGGGTTAAGCTGATCATAACACTAAAACTAAAATGTATTGAGTACTTAGCATGTGCCAAGTACTCTTGTTAGTTTCTTTTTTTTTTGGAGACAGAGTTTTGCTCCACTGCCCAGGCTGGAGTGCAGTGGCACGATCTCAGCTCACTGGAACCTCCACCTCCTGGGTTCAAGCAATTCTCCTGTCTCAGCCTCTCTAGTAGCTGGGACTACAGGTACCTGCCAACACGCCCAGCTAATTTTTGTATTTTTAGTAGAGATGGGGTTTCACTTTGTTGGTCAGGCTGGTCTCGAACTTCTGACCTCAGGTGACCCACCTGGGCCTCCCAAAGTGCTGAGATTACATACCTGAGCCATGGCACCCAGCCACTCTTCTTGGTTTATGAGTGGCTTATGTGGATCACATCGTTTAATCCTCATCACAGCCATTTCGGATAGCTTTTTTGACTAGCTCCATGTTAAACAGGAGACAGCTGAAGTTCAGAGAGGTTAAGTAACTTATCTGGGATCACATGGCCAGTAAATGGCAGAGCTGGGATTTAGCCAAATTAACTAGTACTGCCAGGACTAGCTCTGGAGCCATGGCAGTACTAGTTAAAATGTTGGTCATCTGCAGTGTGTACTGCATGACACATCTGAGTGTCGTTTTTTATTAAGTTTTTTTTGGGGGACTGGGCATGGTGGCTCACACCTGTAATCCCAGCACTTTGAGAGCCTGAGGTTAGTTGATCACTAGGTCAGGAGTTCAAGACCAGCCTGACCAACATGGTGAAACCCTGTCTCTACTAAAAATACAGAACAAAACAAAACAAAACAAACAAGGTTTTTTTTTTTGTTTTTTTTTGTTTGTTTGTTTTGGGAGACAGAGTTTTACTCTTCTTGCCTAGCCTGGAATGCAATGGTGCGATCTCAGCTCACTGTAACCTCAGCTCACCGCAGCCTCCGCCTCCTGGGTTCAAGTGATTCTCCTGCCTCAGCCTCCCAAGTAGGGATTACAGGCATGCGTCACCACGCCCAGCTAATTTTGTATTTTTAGTAGAGACGGGGTTTCTCCATGTTGGTCAGGCTGGTCTCAAGAACTCCTGAGCTCAGGCAATTTGTGCGACTCAGCCTTCCAAAGTGCTCGGATTATAGGCATGAGCCACTGTGTCTGGCCTCTGTTAAGATTTTTTAAGTGGGGCTGGGCACAGTGGTTCACACCTGTGATCCCAGCATTTTTTGGAAGGCTGAGGCGCACAAATTGCCTGAGCTCAGGAGTTCTTGAGACCAGCCTGGGAAACACGGTAAAACCTCATCTCTACAAAAAATAGCAAAAAAATTAGCCAGGCATGGTGGCACATGGATGTCCTCCCAGTTACTTTGTGGAGCCGAGGTGGGAGGATCACTTCAGCCTGGGAGTTTAAGGCTGCAGTTAGCAAGACCTGTCTCCAAGAAAAAAGAGAGATTTAAAAAATGGTAACAATTTTTAAAATTTTGTTCTTTCTATTTCTTTACTTCAAAAAAAATGTTTTTAATTTTGAATCACTCAAATGCAGATTTTTTTTGAGACGGAGTCTCGCTCTGTTGCCCAGGCTGGAGTCCAGTGGCATGATCTCGGCTCACTGTAACCTCTGCCTCATGGGTTCAGGTGATTTTCAGCTAATTTTTGTATTTTTCATAGAGACAGGGTTTTACCATGTTGGCCAGGCTGGTCTTGAGCTGCTGACCTCCAGTGATCCACCCGCCTTTGCCTCCCAAAATGCTGGGATTATAGGCGTGAGCCACCATGCCTGACCCTACAGATATTCTTAAAGCACCTCTTTTGAACAGCCATTCTCATCTAGCCTTGTCATTTCACTGCTGGGGAAACTGAGGCCCAGAGAGGGCTGAGATCTGGCCCTGGGGCTGAATGAGGTAATAACTGAGTTGTGATCAGAGTTTTGGCAGTGCCCGTGCTCAGTCAGCCCTCTAAGATTTTTTCCTTTTCTTTTTCCCCGACATGAACTATCACACAATCTTCTAAAAGATTTTTTTTTAAACCGTAAATAATAATGACATTAAGTTTTCAAATGGCTTCCACATGGACGTGATCTCATTAGCAGTCCTCTGAGCTGTACTTTCCATCTTTGGAATGGGGATATTGAGGCCAGTGCCCAGGAGGGGAAGTGACTTGCCCAGAGTCCCACAGTGAGTCAGTGGTTGGCCTCTAGCCCTGTGAACTGGGATCTCAATGTGAAAGAACCTGAGGCAGTGGAAAAAACCTGGCTGCTGACATGCTACGTGACTGTGGGCTCTTCTTCCTCAGGCCTGGGTTTCCCCAGCTGTAGTATGGGAATTATATCTTGTATATCTGTATCAGCTTTTGCTGCTGATGCTTTTTTTTTTTTTTTTTTTGAGATGGAGTTTCCACCTGTTGCCCAGGCTAGAATGAAGTGGCCCGACCTTGGCTCACTGCAACCTGCGTCCCTGCCCCATGCCAGGTTCAAACAATTCTCTTGCCTCAGCCTCCTGAGTAGCTGGGATTATAGGTGCCCACCACCAAGCCTGGCTAATTTTTTTTTTTTTTGAGACAGAGTTTCACTCTTGTTGCCCAGGCTGGAGTGCAATGGCATGATCTCGGCTCACTGCAACCTTCACCTTGCAGATTCAAGCGACTCTCCTGCCTCACCCTCCCGAGTAGCTGGGATTACAGCCACTTGCCACCACATTGAGCTAATTTTTGTATTTTTAGTAGAGACAGAGTTTCACCACATTAGCCAGGCTGGTCTTGAAATCCTAACCTCAGGTAATCCATCCACCTCAGCCTCCCAAAATGCTGTGATTACAGGCATGAGCTTCCATGCCCAGCCAACCATATGATTTTCAAGGTCCCTTGCTGGAGGATCTGTCTTTGAGCTTCAGTGTCATCTTTTGTCCCCATCTTTTCCTACTGTCCCCTCTTGTGTGACCTCTTGAGAAGGGTCAGGAGGGTTTTCTGAGTTGCTTAGGACCCTAAAACAACAGTGCTAGGGCTGAGGAATCACAGACTAGTGGCATCCTTGAGCTGGAAAGACCACAGGAGCTGGCCAGCCCTGACTCCTTCATATACAGATAAGGTAGCTGAGGCCTGTAGGAAGCAGGACCTGGCTGGGCATGGTGGCTCACACCTGTAATCCAAGCACTTTGGAGGCCAAGGCAGGCGGATCACCTGAGGTTGGGAGTTCAAGACCAGCCTGACCAACATGGTGAAACCCCATCTTAAAAAAAAATAAAAATAAATAAAAAATTTTAAAAAAAGAAACAGGACCTGCCACCCCACCCCGTGGTCATCCAGTAAGTCAGTGGCGGGGCCAGGCCTAGAACCTATCAAGAATTTTTCTTTCTTTCTGCACTCTTTTGTTTTTTTGGTTTTCTGAGATGGAATTTCGCTCTTGTTACCCAGGCTGGAGTGCAATGGTGCGATCTCGGCTCACCGCAACCTCCGCCTCCTGGGTCAAGCAATACTCCTGCCTCAGTCTCCTGAGTAGCTGGGATTACAGGCATGCACCACCATGCCCAGCTAATTTTTTGTATTTTTAGTAGAGACGGGGTTTCACCATGTTGACCAGGATGGTCTTGATCTCTTGACCTCATGATCCACCCGCCTCGGCCTCCCAAAGTGCTGGGATTACAGGCTTGAGCCACCACGCCCGGCCTCTGCACTCTTTTGTCAGAATAAAACTCTTAAGTCCTCCCGTGGGCTGCTGGGGAGCTTTAAATTGGCATAGCCATTTAGGAGGGTGATTTTGCAATGTCTATTAAACATTAAAAATGTGCCAAACATCTGTTACCCCACAATTTCCATTCTGTGAATTCATGGTATAAAAATACTTTTATAAGTTTTTTAAGACAAGTTCAAGTATGTTTACTATAACGTTATTGTGATAGTGGTGAAACTTAGAAGCATCCTCAGTGACCTTTAGCAGTGGATTAATTAAGTAGATGTGTGGTACATCCACACTGTGGAAGATTGTGCTTTTGATAAAAGAATGGGGCTGGGTGTGGTGGCTCATGCCTGTAATCCCAGGACTTTGGGAGGCCGAGGCAGGTGGATCACCTGAAGTCAGGAGTTCGCAACCAACCTGGCTAACATGGCGAGACCCCTGTCTCTACTAAAAATACAAAAATTAGCCAGGCATGGTGGCTCATGCCTATAATCCCAGCTACTCGGGAGGCTGAGGCAAGAGAATCACTTGAACCCAGAAGGCAGAGGCTGTAGCAGTGAGCCAAGATCACCCCACTGCGCTCCAACTTGGACAACAGAATGAGACTCTGTCTCAAAAAAAAAAAAAAAAAAAGAATGGGCCAGGTACAGTGGCTCACACTTGTAGTCCCAGCACTTTGGGAAGCCGAGGCAGGTGGATCGCTTGAGCCCAGAAGTTCAAGACCAGCCTGGACAATAGGCAAAACTCTGTCTCTACATAAAATACAAAACTTAACCAGGCATGGTGGCATGTGCCTGTAGTTACAGCAACTTGGGAGGCTGAGACGGGAGGATCACCTGAGCCTGGGCATTCAAGGTTGCAGTGATTTGTGATTGTGCCATTGTACTCCAGCCTCAATAACACAGTGAGACCCTGTTTCAAAAAAAGAAAAAAAAACGTTAAAATTAATGAAGAAAAAGAAAAGTAAAATAGTTGCAAGACCTGTTGATACAGTGTGATACCATTTGGAGGAGTTATTTTTCATTTGTTTATCTGAGACAGTCTGGATAGAAGCCATACTTTTCACAGTGATCTCTAGGGGTAGGATCAGTAGGGGGCCTTACTGCTTCTACTTATATTTAGAAATGTTTACTTTTTTGAAAAAAAAAATGTGTCTATATTACATTTGCAATTTAAAAAAAAATTGGCTAGGTGCAGTGGCTCATGCCTGTAATCCCAGCACTTTGGGAGGCCAAGGCGAGCAGATCACTTGAGGTTAGGAGTTCGAGACCAGCCTGGCCAACATAACTAAACCTTGACTCTACTAAAAATACAAAAATTAGCCAAGTGTGGTAGCATACACCTGTAATTCTAGCTACTCCAGAGGCTGAGGCACAAAATCACTTAAACCCAGGAGGTGGGGTTTGCAATGAGCTGAGATCATGCCACTGCACTCCAGCTTGGGCAACAGAGTGTGTCTATGCCTCAGAAAGCCCTAGTATAGAGCAGGGATGAACACAGTAGAGCCCATGGGCCAAATCCTGCTCACAGCCTATTTTTATACATTCAGGAATGGAATTATAAAAACAGACAGAATGGCTGGGCGTGGTGGCTCACGTCCGTAATCCCAGCACTTTGTGAGGCTGAGGCGTTAGACCAACCTGGCCAACATGGTGAAACCTTGTCTCAACTAAAAATACAAAAATTAGCCTGTTGTGGTGGTGGGTGCCTGTAATCCCTGCTACTTGGGAGGCTGAGGCAGGAGAATCTCTTGAACCTGGGAGACGGAGGTTTCATTGAGCTGAGATCACGCCACTGCACGCCAGCCTGGGCGACAGAGCGAGACTCTGTCTCAAAAATAAATAAGATAAAATAAATAACTAACACAGAATGTGCAACAGAGTGCATATGTGGCCCACAATGCCCAAAACATTACTTTCTGGTTTGTTACAGAAGAAGTTTGCCAATCCCTGCTCTAGAGGAAAGGGAAGGGGTAGTTGTGAGTTAGTAATTTAGAGCCTGAACTCTTTCTTGCTGTAACTGGGAGGGTCTCGGCTTCCTTTCCCCACACCCCATTTCCTCTTCCTGCAGGAGTTAAGTATGACATTGACCTGCCCAACAAGAAGGTCTGCATTGAATCTGAGCACAGCATGGACACTCTGCTTGCAACCCTGAAGAAAACAGGAAAGACTGTTTCCTACCTTGGCCTCGAGTAACAGGGACGTGGTCCCCACAGCCAGCAGGATGGACCAAAGTGGGTAGGTGGGTAAGGCTCCAGCACTCGCTGAACAAACCTTCTGCTCGCACTTCTCATCAGAGCTAACACCTTGGCCTTTGAGAGCTTGAGTGGAGCAGGAGAGCCCCCGGGTTCTTTTTAATCCACTGTCCACTTTCTTTGGAGTGATTACAAATATCTGTCTAATGCAAATCACAAGTTCAGGGAATCCTTACAGCCCCTGTGATTGGACAGAGCACTGTGTAATGTCTCCCAGAGTCCTCTTTAGGACGTGGGGGTTGCATTTCATGGTTAGCAGCGTTTAAGTTTATAGTATACGACCCTAAGCAATGCACCTTTGGCTTCTTGATTTGTTTGTTTGTTTCTTTGAGACAGTGTTTCACTATGTGGCCCAGGCTGGAGAGCAGTAGCTCTTCATTTGTGTGATCATAGTGCACTGTAGCCCTTAACTCCTGGGCTCAAGTCATCCTCCTGCCTCAGCTTTCTAAGTAGCTGGAACTGTAGGCACATATCACCACGCGTGGCTCTGGCTTTGATAAACTGACTGTCTCATCAGAGTTGACACTTTTGCCTTGGGCCTTGTTCTCTTGTGCCCTGACCAAGTGAGTTAATTCAGACTGTGCCCCTCTCTCTACTTGAAACTGTTGTCAGCTTCCTGAGCATGCCCTCTGTCCAGCCTGGTACAAAAACAATAGCATGTCTGAGCTAGATGTTCCCTTCACTTTTATGTAATCCAGTGAGGCAGTAAGGGGCACTGTGCCAGCACTCTTCACTCTGAAACCAGGCAGACCTTATTCATTGATCCAGCCACAGTCTCAGCAGGGCCCTCCTGGCTGCCACTGCCCCTGTAGTGTCTTTGACTCGTGAATTACAATGATCGCCACATCCCTGATGTGCTTTAGTGCGCTGACTGTGATTGAGAAAAATGAGGCCAAGAGAGGGGAAGTGATTCAGCCAAAGCCCCACCCAGGTGAGTGGCAAAGGCAGGAGGACAGTCAGATATCCCGAGTTGGAGTTTTGTAACTGTTACTGGTGGCATTGTCCCTGGGAATGGGTCCCGGAGACCCTCCAGATAGGAGCCAGCCACAGCTGACTAACAGTTCCTTCCCAAAGGTGTACATTTGGAACCTGAGCCACAGCGGTGTTCCGTGTATGTGGTGACATCACATGCAAGTCACACGATGTCACAGGCATCTGTTTTCGTCACACACTTTTCATCCATAGATAGAACCCATGTGCAGGAATGAGCCCAGGATGAATAATGAGGAATCCAGGATTCTTTTTTTTTTTTTTTTTGAGACGGAGTCTTGCTCTGTTGCCCAGGCTAGAGTGCGGTGATGTGATCCTGGCTCACCGCAACCTCTGCCTCCAGGGTTCAGGACAGTCAGATATCCTGAATTGGAGTTTTGTAACTGTTACTGGTGGCATTGTCCCTGTGAATTGAGATGAAGTTCACAAGATACTATAACTATTTTAACCCATTTATGCTGGATGTTGCACTTTTTTGTGTGTGAAAAATCAACCCTTGGTGATGATCTTGAGCAGTAGGATATAAATTAACTCCCACAAGTTTAGCATTCCAGTAATGGGACACTAGGCATAAATGGGTTAAAGTCTATCATTTAGTGGCATTTGGTACATCCTCAATGTTGTACGACCACCATCTCTCTCTAGTTTCAAAACTTTTTCACCATCTCAGAAACACACCCTCTATCCATTATGCAGTCACTCCCTACTCCCCATCTCTCCATCCCCCTGCAGCCGCTAATTTGCTTTCTGCTACTCTGGACTTGCCTACCCTGGACATGTCATATAAAAGGAATTACATTATCTTAATGCGTTTATTGCCTTTGCAATATTGCTATGTGCCCAGCAGATGGCGCCTTCGTTCCAGCTAATTTTCCATCTTTCCTAGGCTCCTGATCCTCCCCTGGCTTCCAGACAGACCTGGGGCTTGGCAGTCTTGCTGAACAATGGTGTTCCTACAGAGACCCTCAGTTGTTCTGTTCCTTTCTAGCTTCCTCGAAATAAAATCGAGCTGCTTTTGTTGGGAGATGTTGTCTTGCCTGGTTTTGGTATTGCTTGCTCATGTGTAGTTGGTTATGTTTACTTGGGTTTGAGTTTTGAGAGTTCCCGCCTGGGAGTCAGACACCCTGTAGATTCTGACTCTTTGCTGTGTGATCTTTAGCAAATCACTTACCCTTTCTGGGCCTCATTTTTTCCTCACCTGTAAAGTGGAGGCATTGACCCAGATCAATGATTCCCTTTCTTTTCACCAGTTTCATAGACTCTGTATTTTGAAAAATTTTTGTGTATCGAGTGAATTGCACAAAAGGTTATCAAATGTTAAGGCAGTGGAATAGTGGGAAGAGGCTGCTGGAGACAAACTTCTGGGATAGAGTTGAAGCTCCACTACCTCCCAGCTGGGCCACTTAACCTCTCAGTGTTCACAGACATAAAATGTGATGATCGCATCTACTGCAAATGGTGTTTGTAGGGAGTCAATGAGGTGATACATGTAAATTTATTAGAGCAGTGATTGCTAGTTAAAAATCACTCGGATTTGAAGGGAACACTAATCGAGCAGTATGAAAGAGATAGGGTTTCACTATGCTGGCCAGGCTTACAATCCCAGCACTTTGGGAGGCCAAGGTGGGATCATAAGCATGAGTCACTGCGACCAGCCAAGTAGATCTCTTAAACTCTTAAAAGTTATTGAGGATCAGGCCAGGTGTGGTGGCTCACGCCTATCATCCCAGCACTTTGGGAGGCCAAGGTGGGTGGATCATGAGGTCGAGAGTTTGAGACCAGCCTAGCCGACATAGTGAAACCCTGTCTCAACTAAAAATATAAAAAATTAGCTGGGCGTGGTGGCAGGTGCCTGTAATCCCAGCTACTGGGGAGGCTGAGGCAGGAGAATCACTTGAACCTGAGAGGCAGAGGTTGCAGTGAGCTGAGATTGTGCCACTGCACTTCAGCGTGGGCAACAGTGTGAGACTCTGTCTCAAAAAAAAAAATTATTGAGGATCTCAGCTGGATACGGTGGCTCACGCCTGTAATCTTAGCACTTTGGGAGACCAAGGCAGTGAATCACCTAAGGTCAAGAGTTCAGGACCAGCCTGGTCAACATGGTGAAACCCCATCTCCACTAAAAATGCAAAAAATTAGCTGGGCATGGTGGCATGTGCCTGTAATCCCAGCTACTCAAGAGGCTGAGGCAGGAGAATTGCCTGAACCCAGGAGGCGGAGGTTGCGGTGAGCCGAGATTGCGCCATTGCACTCCAGCCTGGGTAACAAGAGCGAAACTCCGTCTCAAAAAAAAAAAAAAAACAACAGGAATTTTTTTTAAAGAAAAATACCCAAGCACACATCCCATTGGCCATTGGGACTAGATGAAGTCACTGCATTCATTTAGACTCTGGAAAACTTCATCTTACAATTGTTAAGGGGGAAAGACATCTTAGACGTTTTCAACCTCATGTGGCTTCTGAAAGGCTCTTGGGGATCACATGTTGAGAATCACCACTTTAACCATTTATTGGGCGCTTACTGGGGACCCAGGGCTGCTGAAGTCTGGGATAAGCCCTGGCTCTGCGCTTGACCAGCCCGGACATGGGACCAGCCACTGCATCCATCTCACAGGCAGTTTCCTCATCTGCACAATGTATAAAGCCTGCACCTCAGGGAACTTGGTCGCCAGAAATAACACTTTATTTTAACTCTAAACTAGTTGCTAGCATAATTTTCATCCCATTATGAAAGTACTAAACAACTCTCGGGGCCGTTTCTGACTTTGTGGTCCCTCAGGGGTACAGGGCCTCCTTCCCAGCCTGCAAGGTAAATGCATTTCTTGGCCACCAGATGGCAATGTCTTGTGGACTTGTCCATCCACAGAGAAGTTTAAGACCATTTCTTTCAAAAAAGTTTCTGTGGGCTCTAAGAGAACAAACTTGAGGATTTTTTCCGTTTTCAATTTCCCTGGGAGGCCTGGTGCAGACTGGCTGGCCCATTGGGAACGCCCAAGAGTTGAGACACTGGTGCCTGTTAGGGCGAGTGCTTCTCAGAGGGGTTCATTTCCTTTGAGTCCTCTCTGTACCACCACCCTCAGCAGAAATCCAAGTTTCCAGCTGAGGCATTTGGCTCTGTTCTTCCAAGGCCACAGAGCATTAGAGAAGCTCCCCCGCCTGCCAGCAGCCCAGCTGGCTGTGCACAGAATGAATGAGATCACAGAGCGGAGCTCAGGCTTCTTCAGGGGTGGGGGTGGGGAGCAGATGTGGCCACATATGTCTCTGGGGCTTCCCCGTGCACTTGGCCCCAGCCTACCCTTCCAGGCTTTCCCACTCCTCACTGCAGCCAGCCAGCCCACTCCTCAGGGTCTTGCTTTTGTTCGTGCTGCCCCCGTAAGTGGAATGATCTCCACCAGCCTCCCTTGTCTCCATGTCCAAATTCCTTTCCCTCCCTTACATACCACAGCCTCCATGAAACCTCTCCACAGCTGGAAGTAATTTATTTCTCCTCTTGGCCCTCAAAGCATTTATCTCGAAAACTTCAGTGCTGTGGTGAAGCTTTCTGTCCACGTATCTTTCCTGGCCTCGAGGATCAGCCCAGGCATCTGTTCCCTCTGCTCTCAGAGCCAGCACTTAGGGAATAATTGATAGATGAGTAATGGCTACCGTTTGGGGGATGCCTGTTTAAGAGTGTCATGCCCTTGCATTTCTGTCATTCCATCCTTACCTAGTCACCGTAAGATACTAGACTAGGACAGACCCTCACACATGGTAGATGTGGGCCCAGATAATTTTCCAGATCGTCTCTTCTAATGCTTCTAGCAGGTCAAAAACCCCTGGCTATGAGTACAGCCTCCCCTAGGGTATTCCCAGTAACCAGCCCTTGTTTCTATGCCTGATGGGGTGAAGCTCCCACCAACTTTGCCTTGTTGACCTACCCATTCGCCTGGTGGCCAGAGCCTTGGCTTGTCCAGCATCCGCATTACCATGACTGGAGAGAAACTACCCTGGCCCTCAGAGCAGGGTGAAACCTGGGGGCTATATCTGGGGGAAACGTCCTTCTTCACAGTGGTGTGAGCCACAGGGGGGCTCTGGTCTGGCCTGACTCCCCACCAGTGTGCTGAGTGAGCTTGAGCAAGTCTTTTGAATTTTGAAGTGGTGTGTGTGTATGTGTTATTGTTGTTTTTCCTTTTCTGAGACGGGATCTCTCCCTCAGGCTGGAGTTCAGTGGCACAATCTTGGCTCACTGCAACCTCTGCCTCCCGGGCTCAAGCAATCCTCCCACCTTAGCCTCCCAAATAGCTGGGACCACAGGCACACACCACCATGCCCGACTAATTTTTGTATTTTTTTTTTGTAGAGACGAGGTTTCACTAAGTTGCCCAGGCTGGTCCGGAACCCCTGGGCTCAAGTGATCTGTCTGCCTCAGCCTCCCAAAGTATTAGGATTATAGGCATGAGCCACTGCACCCAGCTGAAGTTTTTTTTAACTGCTATTTTGAGACATAATTTCATTCAATAAACTGCACATATTTGAAGTGTATACTTTTTTTTTGCTACGCCTACTGAAAGGATAAAGTATATAATGAAGATACATATATCACACACACACACACACAGAGACTCATGAAACCATCACCACAATCAAGATAGTGACCATATTAATCACCTAAAAAGTTTCCTGGCACTTCTTGGTAATCTGTCCCACCCTCTCCTTACCCCCAAGTAACCAACAATCTGCATACTGTCACTATTGATTAGTTTGCACTTTCTAGAGTCTTATATAAAAGCAGTTATGGCCGGGCGCTGTGGCTCACGCCTGTAATCCTAGCACTTTGGGAGACCGAGGTGGGTGGATCACCTGAGGTCAGGAGTTCAAGACCAGCCTAACCATCATGATGAAACCCCACCTTTGAAAATAATAATAATAATAATAATAATAATAAAAGCAGTTACACAGTATGCTCTCATTTTTGTCTAGCTTTTTGATTCAGCATATTTTGAAATTTTATCTTTTTGTCACTGAGTATTAAGTATTCCATTGAATGAATATACCAGAAGGTGTGATTCATTCCTCCATCGAAGGACATTTGTTTCCAGTTTTTTTAAACTGCTTTGGTGCTATTAAGGTTTCCAAGGGCCATGCAGGGCACAAAGGAAAGTCTCAGTGAGCTGGACTCTTCCAACCCAACACACCCAAACCCAAGCCAAGCCAGCTCAACTCATAATTTTACTTTTTATCTTTTAATTTATTTTTATTTTTTAGAGATGGGGCCTTGCTCTGTGGCCAGGCTGGTACGCGGTGGTGCAATTGCGGCTCACTGCACCCTCGAACTCCTGGGTTCAAGTGATCATCCTGCCTTGACCTCCCAAAGTGCTAGAATTACAGACATGAGCCACTGTGCCTGGCCCAACTTACAATTTTATCTAATGGGCTTCCTCCTACAGCTCAGTGATACAAAGCCATGTTCTGGACTTCAGATCCAGATTTAAATTCCTACACCACTTAAAAACTGTGTGACTTGGGCCAGGCATGATGGCTCACGCATGTAATCTCAGCACTGTGGGAGGCCGAGGAGGGCAGATCACGAGGTCAGGAGATTGAGGCCATCCTGGTCAACATGGTGAAACTCTGTCTCTACTAAAATACAAAAAATTAACCGGGTGTGGTGGTGCTCCCCTGTAGTCCCAGCTACTCAGGAGTCTGAGGCAGAAGAATCATTTGAACCCAGGAGGCAGAGGTTGCAGTGAGCCGAGATTGTGCTACTGCATTCCAGTCTGGCAGCAGAGCCGTCTAAAAAAAAAAACAAAACAAAACTGTGACCTTGGGAAAGGTACTGATTCTTTTGTGCAACTCAATTTCCTTATCTGGAAAACGGGGGTCATAACAGTACTAAGACTATTGTGAGAATTAAAAATCTTCATGTGCCTAATTCTTAATAATGGTATTCCACAAATAAAACTTTTTGTTTGACCAAAAAGTTTCACAATTACATGACTAGAAGTTTGAAAACTGAAGTCTGAAAATTTTCAGATCTAGATTCTTTCTACCCCTGGCATATTATGAAAAGCAAAATGGAACCTCAAGATTGTGCTGTGTGGGAGGTGAATGGTTGTTCAGGTCACCGCCCTCTCCATGACATTCTCCTTTAATTAGTGCCAGTGTCTTAAAAAGCCCAAGTCTGTAATTTTTTGGGAGTGCCCATCACAGCTTCTTTTAGATTTCCATGTCTTTAAGGGCTGGGGCCACTTAGTTTAAGAGGACAAGTTTTCTAATCTGCTTCTTCGGAGAAAAGTCTTCATGTCCCTCGGCAAATCCTATGACTACTGACTAGGGCCTTGCAATAAAATCAAAGCCTGTAAAAATAAGGATGTCACCTCCCATTGGTCTGTTTATCATGGGTTCCAAGGATCTTAATCCTTTTAGAATCACAGATCCCTGGATGCCTAGAAGTAGGCTGTATCTTGAATAAGAACACTGGCTCTGCGGATAAACAGACTGTTTACCAGATGTGTGAACTTGAGCAAGTAGCTTAACTGTCCAGGACAAATTAGCTGGGCAAGGTGGCAGG